ATCAAGAGATAAAATAAGTGTCTTTTATTCTTGATACATTGTCAATATATTTAAGAGCTTATTGAGTCACACACATAAATTTAAACATTCACATAATAAAAGAGAAGTAAAGATTTTGAAAAAGATTTCTAATTTTAAAAGTTTCTTATTTTGAAAAAGGTTTTCGAAAATAGAAAGTTCACTCGTTTTGGAAAAAGTTTCCTAAAATGGAAAGTTTTTTATTTTAGAAATCAGTTTTCTAATTTGAAAGTTATTTCCAAATTTGAAAGATAGTTACTTACAAATAAAATTAGTTTTCTAATTTAGATTTAAGGGTAATTTAAAAAATTATTTCTTAATGTGAGCCTCTTAAAATATCTAACCTAATTTATTTGGATGCTCTAAATTAATAGGTCATTAATGAGGCCAAAAGAGTTTAGGCCAATAGGCTTAATTTAAAAGTCTATAAGATATTTTAGTGAAAGGAGAAACTTGAGCCCTATTAGATAATGCTTAGGGTTTACATGGATAAGGTTAGACAAAGTCCACATAAGAAACATCTTCGACCTATAAGGAGAAATTGCCGCCCCCTTATATAAAGAGGGATGAGAGAGGACCACAAGGTAAGTTAAGAAAAAGAAAAGAAAAACATAACAAAAAAGGAGAAAAACATTTTCTCCCAAAAGCTTGAGTTACCACACATACCTCTTTTTCTCTAGGGTTTTTGTAAAAAACCCTAACCGATTTCTTAAAGAACAAATTAACTATATAGAAGGATTGGAGCTAGCACTATATGATTTCGTAGCTTCTCTTGTGGGTGTCGAAGGTACATGAATTATCAATAAAGGTTGGATATTTGGACGACTTCTTTTCACATAGATAGTATCTACGCTACAAGAGATAAACACTTGCTTTAATTAGTTATTCATGTATATATGATTAGTTGATTCAACAACATAATATTAGGAGCTTTAGATGGAGAAGTTTTTTTTGTTTTATTATGTACCTCTATTGGATGTATGATCCTTCATGTGATTGGGACATTCCTAGCCATTTTCTTGAACATCCATACACTTGATTTTATCTTTAAAAACCATGAACATGATGGAAACCATTTCATGATGTTGATGCAAACAATGGCATGACATGTAAATCTATGAACATTAATTAACCAATAACTAAGTCGGATATCATTGAACACTAAACATACTTTTATGAAACACTAACAATACATGGAAACAATATTAAATCAATCCAAGAACATCAAGATCACAAAATAGCTTTTAGACCAAATTCAACCATAAACCATTCCTTGCCCAAGTTCAACATAAAACTAATTACTTACCATATGGATTCTTTACCAAATAATCATGTCACTAATAAACCGCACAAGGGTTGTTCAACATAATAAAACACATTGATTACACAAAAGACTGGTCTTGGTCGAAACTACAAAGAACAAACCGAGAGCATCACACTTGCCTTAGCCATAATCAAGCATAAAACCAATAAATACCTCATCAATTCAACAATGTAAAGGTTTCTAAATCTTTTTTAAGCCTAATTTCATTCTTAGTCCATTGATTCAACATATGATCCATCATAATACAATTCGGTAACCACAAGCATGAAGCTTACTTTTTCTACACAAGCACCTTAAACATCATTTGAACAACTCCTAGTGTTTTAGATATAATTCAAGTTCTAGACACATAAATTTAACACATATCTAAAAATAAAATTTAACCTTAAAATACACATATGCTCATTTTTTCAAAAAGTTATTTTGTTTTCGTAAGCTAGTTTCAAGGCAGCTTCTAATACAAGTAGCAATAGCTTCACTTCGAACATAATTAGAACCTATATTTTTACTAGTAGTAACTAGACAAATTACCGTAAAAAAATATTCAAAAATCAGATCAAAATACCAAACACAAGATTAATACTATAATTTTAAAATTTAAAAACTAATATGGTCGATAATAAGTCATCTAGAATAGCCTATACTTAAACGAGTATAACTCTTCATATACAAAACTAATGACAAAACCATTTTACAAAGACTTAGAAGAGACATATATGAACAAATTTTATTCTTAAAAATTTACCCAAAAATACTCTAAGACCTATGAACAAGTGGTATAAAATTCAGATAGAACTTAATCGTTAAGAACATTGATTCTTATATACTTGATTTGTACCTTTCAATTCGTGTTTTTAAACTTATCAACTCTTTTAATACATTAACAACTCACTAAGTAATCATATAATCATCATTATTAAAATATATCATGAAAATTGGAACATTAAATCCTAAATTATCGTCTAAGAACATAACTTGAAATCTAACTTAAAATCCATGAACACAAATGGTTCCAAGAACATTTAACCAATTAAAATCATTAGCCTAGGTTCAAGGTTGATGACCAAAATAATCAATAAAGGTATTCAAGCTAATTTTTTCAATCAACTACCCTTAAACATGCCTAATCCATGTAAAGAACACCTAACAATACAAAATTATAAAAGTTAACATTTTGTCCTCAATTTCACTATTTTGGTCGAATCTTTCGACTCCAATTACCTAATCTTAATTCTTTAACCCAATCTCAATTCAATCCCTAATCATGTTATTTCAACTTTCCTAAACATGTTTTTATCATTAATTTATCAATATATATCAATTACATCAAAGCCCAGACAATCGAACAATTAATTCACAATCCTTGTAACTTTAAAACATTAGCAATCAAACATTAATTTAATCATTTTCTTGTGATGCGGTGAGAACTACACTTACCTCATTTAATGTTTGATCAAGTTCTTCGTTGGTTGTTTGAAGTTTCCTCCTCCTTCTTCTTCAATGTTTCGGCCAAACCTCCACTTTTTCTTCCTTCTTTGTTTGATTTCTTCAAGTATTGCTAGAGTATATTTGGGGTGTATCTAAGGTGTTTTAGGTGGTGGGTTGACTTAATTTGTCTTGAATTTGCCTAGAACTCAACTTGATATTTCTTGAGTTTTCAAGTTTTTTATCCCTTTTCTTCTTTCTCTTCTTGCCAAATTTATAAAGGAGGATTTCCTTGTGATTTTGTTAAGTGCGTCACACTTGGATTAATCCCTCCGTCCTTTATTTAATGCCTCCTGTCTTGAATTCTCTTTATTTCTCTTCTTTTCTCTCCATTTCTTCTTCTTTTGCTGACTTAACTCCTCCCTCTCTTTCTCTTTATTTCAACTTAAATCTGGTTAAAAGAGGCCAATTCCATCCGAATTAAATGGTCCATTAATTTTTCAAAATCTTATGTTTTGGTCCCTAAACTTTTTAATTGGTTCAATCGAGTCCTTCAATTTCTATCTCTAAACCTTTAATTTTCCACAATCTAGCCCTTATCTAGGCTCTTTTCTAATTTATAGTAGCCACTTGAATTTAATCAAGTACTCGATCCTTTAATTGTAATAATTTAACCCCTCTAAAGTCTTGCAATTACACCCTTAAATTATAACAATTAATATTATAACTTACTAATTCAAGCATTAAATAATTTATTCACCTCTCATAATATTTATGCATGTATTAATTTATTTGCTATGTAAATATAAAATATTAATTCATACCTTAAATAAATATTTATTTATTTATTTAAATAATTATTGACACATATAAAATATTTAAAATTTGATGGTGTTACAGTTGGTAAAATACTTGTTGTTCATGCTTTTAGCGACAGATCATACATTTCGTCACAACATTAGTGACAGAACATTGTCGCTATGCTGAAGTATTTCTGTTGCTAATATATTGTACATAATTCCAGCAAAATTGCAAAAAAGTGTGCATCGCAAATGTGATTGAATATATTTTGTCGGTGAATTTTTCGTCATTAATTATCGGTATTTTACCTACGAATTCCATAGCTGTTCGTCGAAAGTTTATGTGACTTAATCTTTTTTTCCATTGTAATCGATCGTTCATCCGTTGTTAATAATGAAAATATAATTTTTTTATTTGTTATTAGTCGTTTAATGTTTAGTTATAATAGCAAATAACTAAAAAATAAAATTATAACATGAAAAATTAAATAAATATAATATAAAATCAAATCAAATGTATACAAATGATATATTTTAATAACTACCGTATCATGGTATATTTTAATAAATACAATAAATAAAAAAATATCTATACTGTGTCAGTTTTATATATCTTTTTATAAAAATATAATAAAATTTCGATATAGTTTTTTTCCTGTAAACGAGACATTTCCTAATTACAGTAGACTCGACCTATAAAAAAATAGCACATTCAAATAAGATGTTGAAAGGCCAGTAGTATAAATTTTTTAGTTCACATATTATTGATGAACAGGGGTCCTAATCAATAGTGTAACCTATTAATGATAATAATGTTGCGCCTTTGGAGAAGCCCCAAATAAAGTGGAAAAAAGAGAGAGAAGTTTTGGAGTGAAGTCATTGTCAGTTTAGTAGATGCCACGTCAAGTAGGTCCTAATCAATAGATGAAGTTTGCTTATGAACCGCTCATTAGAAAGAAACAGAAAGTGAGTCAGCAATGACAAAGAGAGAGAAGAAGGGCACAGATATCTCCGAGATTTTTTGCTTGACAGCTCATTCAATCCCATCAACGCAAAAACAAAACAAAAAATGTCAACCTGTCAACCAACTTGAGCTGCATGGCTCTCTTTCTCTCTGTTTCCTACTGCTCTTAAGATTTTGTGATTGCTAAGTTAGCTAGCTAGACAAAAGTAAACAAATACTATTTTCTTTTTTTTTTTGGAAATTAAGATTGAGCTTTTCAGGGAAGGACTCGGCTTGAGTCCTTGGCGAGAAAATGTTGCAAGGACTTGCATCCTGGCTTAATCGCAGGGAAGGGCTTTCCGGCTATTATAAATACTTACCCCATTTTGCAAACCCAAAATGCACCACAACTACAATCTTCTACGTTTATATCCTCTCCTTAATTTTCTTTGCTTTTATTTAGCTTCTTCTTTCTCGATTCAGCTGCAGGATGACTATCCTCTTGGAGCAGCCTCCAGCTTTTGGTCGGTTTGCGCGTTCTTTTTTTAATTAATTTCAATCTGATGTGTTTGTTATGTTTTGCTATATATTGAGTATTAAATATGTTGGTATGTGCTAGTTAATTAAAATACATTTCATGTATTTTAATGTGTATATCTATATATATGTATAGGAGTCGAACTGGAGGAGAAAAACATCCCAGTCGATCATGATGATGATCAGGAAAATGAACTGGTGCTGGAGGGAGGATTCGCTGTGCCTGACACCAACTCCTTTGGTCACACTTTTAGGTCTCTTCTAATTATTTCCTTTTCCATTAAGTGAAAAAAGAATATAATTCTAGGTAAAGCACCACCCTCGCAGTAAGGGGCGGCAAGTTTTGTTGGTACTGTTGTTGATAAAAAATGGGATTTTACGAACCTGAGATCTCATCCTCTTCTTCTTCTTTAAAGAAGATTATCACTGACTTCATTAGGTGGCAAGGGGAGTCATGTATACATTTTTTACTCATCGATCGCGAGGATGTCCAGCGGAGTACTTGTATTATACTACACAATAACAATAAAAATACTTTTTCCCTTCCACTTAAATTCCACCCACATTTTTCACAGAGTTTGAACAACTTAAACATGATCTATTCCTAGAATTTTCAAATTAATATTACATCTGGTTTATCGCTTTATGAATTTATTTTTTTCCTTTTTTTTGGATCAAATTATTTTAGGACTTAAGAAGAATACATATGGTTGATCCGAATATGAATATGAACAATCGGTTTGAAATCTGGTGGAGAATAATTTAGTTTAGATTAATTAATGTTGTTCAATCAAACTGAACAACGAGCCAGGGAAGACTGGATCACTAAGCGTCAACAATTGGATCTCTACATTAATATATAGGTGAAGGCAAAGTCAGTTAATGATGTATAAAATTAAAAAATATATATATTTATATAAATTAATTTAATTATGAAAACAAATTATTTAAATATTACGTTTTGATCTCTATATGTGTATACACAAGCAAATTTATATATTAAAAAAATTATCTTTAGCATGATTTATATTATAATCATTTTTTTGTGAATATATGGTAAAAGAAAAAAAAAGGTTTTTAAGTAAAATTTAATTGTTGAATATCTTGTAATTTTCAAGATCTAAAACTCATGGGCAGGCCAAGTTTTATTTTTTCCTGATATATTTTACTTTATGACAATCTCAGTGATAAATTTTTAGAATGAAATATTCGTTTTTTTTTTAATGTTAAGAATTAATGGATTATTATTATTGTTATGGTCAGTTTTTAATTAATGTCACTATTTTTTTTATAAAAAAATAATAATCCCCTGATTAAAAGCTAGTACTATCCCTTGAATAACGATTGCCTTTTCATTTTGGCTTAATTTAGATGAATATAATGAGAATCAATTAAATTTTTCTCAATTAAAAAAAAAAAAACTTGGTTCCTTATTGATGGGCTTTTTAATTGTTGAATATCTTGTAATTTTCAATATCTAAAACTCATCGGGAGGCCAAGTTTTATTTTTTCCTGATATATTTTACTTTATGACAATGCCAGTGATAAATTTTTAGAATGAAATATTAATTTTTTTTTTAATGTGAAGAATTAATGGAATATTATTGTTATGGTCAGTTTTTAATTAATGTCACCATTATTATTATTTTTTTAAAAAAACAATAATAATCCCCTAATTAAAAGCTGGTACTATCCCTTTAATAACGATTGCCTTTTCATTTTGGCTTAATTTAGATGAATATAATGATAATTAAAAAAAAAAAAACTTGCTTCCTTATTGATGAGCTGTCCTAATAAGACAACGATATCATAAAGATATAATAAGCTGATGGGCCGATCCTTATATATCTGAAATCCAACTTAAATTTTAGTTGATCCAACCAGAAAGACCTAAGCTGACAAGTCTTTCTCTCAGTCTCACCCGGCCCATGTCCAGGTTCCCACCCTCCGTCAAACTTTAAAATTTCTTTTTAATTAACCATTCATTTTTTTATTTATTTAAATTCCAAATATTGGTTATAGTGGCTAATATGAGAGGCGTGGCGTGCCTTCTAGAAACAATAAATAAATAATCGTGTCTCCTTTTTATTTTTTATTTTTAACGTCTCTTCATTTCGTATAATGTGTAACTTCGATTTTTTTTCCCCGTATATTTGTTTCTTCATTTCATTATTTATAACGTGTAATTTGTGAATTATGAAACAGGGATTATGATATAGAGAGTGAGCGTCAGAGGAGCGTGGAGGAATTTTACCGAACGAATCACATCAACCAGACTTATGACTTCGTATGCTACTTCGCTTTATTTTCTACCCGATGCTGCATAAATTATCATCAATTAATTATAATTTGTTATCACCAACCTATTAAGTACTCTATTCTATCGAAATTATACATACGATGACCGTGGAAATCCCCTTTTTCATTGTTTGGTTACTTGTCATCGTCAAAATGCAGGTAGAAGGGATGAGAGAGGAATATGGGAAATTGAAGAGGGTGGAAATGAGCATATGGGAATGCTGTGAACTCCTTAATGAATTTATAGATGAGAGTGATCCCGATTTGGACGAACCTCAAATTGAACATTTATTGCAAACTGCTGAAGCAATTCGAAAAGATTATCCCAATGAGGACTGGCTGCACTTGACTGGCCTTATCCATGGTACAAAATATTTGTAAAAAAAGAATATATATATATGTATGTATGTATATATCGCTGTTTTTGAGCTTTTTTATTTATTTATTTTAATCAATTAGGAAGCGTTGAAGCTATAGCTTTTGAATATATATGTGCTTATCTCAATTAAAATAGTCACATCTAATTAACTTGCTTCTTAATGCATTTCAGATCTTGGAAAGGTTCTTCTTCATCCTACTTTTGGGGAGCTTCCTCAATGGGCTGTTGTAGGTGACACATTTCCTGTAGGGTGTGCCTTCGACGAGTCGATTGTTCATCATAAGGTCTGATCTTGATCGTATGATCTGTAGAGATATGATATGTTCTTGTTGGTCCAACAAGCTTCATTAAATTTTCCCCCTTTTTGTGCAAGTTTCTAATATAATTTGGGCTTGTTGGTATCAGCACTTCAAGGAGAATCCAGACTACAACAACACTGCGTACAAATCTAAATACGGAGTATATTCAGAAGGTTGCGGACTAGACAAAGTATACATGTCATGGGGCCATGACGACTACATGTATCTGGTACTAATTTCAGACCTAGCTAGGTTTCCATGTAACACCGACGTAAGTGTAATTTTATTTTGGTATCCAATCACAGGTAGCCAAGGAGAACAAGAGCACTTTGCCTTCTGCAGGTCTTTTCATTATTAGATACCACTCTTTCTATGGTAAGCAGAAAAAAAGGATGGATTGGCTTAAGTGTGTTATATACTCCTCTAATTGATGGTATGATATATTTAAGCATCAATATCTGTCTAATTTGCAGCTTTACATAGGGCAGATGCATATAGACACTTGATGAATGAAGAAGATGTTGAGAATCTGAAATGGCTCAAAATATTCAAGTAAAAAATCTTCAACAATATCGATCCGATCCTGTTCTAGAATTTTGCAATATATAGAATCCTATTCCAAAGATGATAATATATTTGTTCTGTCATGTTTTAATATGCAGCAAGTATGACCTTTACAGTAAAAGTAAGGTGCGGATTGATGTCGAGAGAGTGAAGCCATACTATCTCTCACTCATTGAAAAGGTAAACCACAGTTGTTAATCAGTAAACCTTGGACAAGTTACTTTCCTTTTCTTTTTTCTTTTCATTTCTGTCATTTCTTCACAACCAAACACTGTTTTTCTTTTGGTTCTTATCTAGTCCGCTTGTGATTTATTGCAGTACTTTCCTGCAAAGCTAAGGTGGTGAATCAGTCAGGAGCTAGATAAAAGGCAGATGACAATACTGGCAGTAGCTTTCTTTCTTTTTTCTTTCTTCTTCTTGGTGGGGTGGGGTGTGGATTGGTCCACTGAGTTGGGGGTTAGGTTACTCTGCTTTCGCTTTTGTTTCATTAATAATCCGAAGCAGGTCGTCTAGTGTGTGGCATCCTGAAGTAATGGAGTTAATTATAGTTTAGTAATTAGTATTGGCATCTCTTTCGAGGTTCTCTCTGGTTTTCTAATTAAAATACCTGTATTTTACACTCTGCAGGGTAATTCTATGATTTAACATAAATACATAAACTCATCTAATCAGAAAAATTAACATTAACGTGGCCATTTCTTTTAGCATTTGTGTAATATGCCCAATAAGTGGGAAGGAATATAATAGATGGAGTAGAATCTAATCTAATCTAATTATATAAAAGTGGAAGAGAACCAATGAAAGTATAAGAACGTGACGAGGGGATACCCTATGCTTTCTCCCTATTAAAATACACCATGGTTGGATCCTACAGCATCCACGAAATGTTCTTAATGAAATTCAACTAGATGAATTTGCAAAATTATCTGCAATTTTGTATTTACCTAATGTGTATGATTTATTTCTTGTTTTTGTATAAGCATAATATTATTGCTTTGAGAATTTGACCTTTTACCTCTTGGGTCATCCATGTGCGTGCATGACTTCAAAGTATATAAAGCATATGTTCATATATGTCTCGTCTCATTCTCAGCGTTGATAAGTATGAGATCCCAAATTGGCTTGTAAGGAATAATTTTGTTGTTTTTTGAGACGATTCTGTAGTAGCTCCAAAAAAGAAGAGACTCAAGAAAGACAGGACATGATTAAAATGTTTTACTTCCAAAAAAATCTTCCTTGTAATCATTTCATAATTTAAGACATATCCTTTTCCTTTTGTTAAGAAAACTTTAACCATCAATTAATTATTTAATTTACATCATTTTCGGTCTTTTTTTTTTTTTCCTTATCGTATGTGTTGTTGTGAAACATGTGGGGACAGAACTACAACTAACTAAAGGGAGACATGACGCCTTTTATACAATTTTTTTTTTACATTTTCTGAAATCCATCATCGAAGGATAAGTTCACGTATACATACAAACTCTCTCTCTCTCTCTCTCTAAGGGGGAAAAAAAGACATCCCTTTAACCTTGCCTATAACATGTCCTACCTACTGTTATATATATATATATATATATATATATATATATATATTTTATCTGAATAATACGCTCAAATACCGACTTAAATCCTAAATCAGATAAAGACTTTTCGAATTATTAACTTTTTTTTATTGACACTTTCTGTATTTGTATTTTTATTTTGATTTTAGCACATGAATTGTTAAATATTTGGATTGGGACCTCCTATGTCATCCTTCATCGTCAAACTCTACCGTTACAGCCACCTAATCATTCTAAAGGAGTACCAAAATAATCACTCCAACATGAAAAACAATTTTTAGACTCAAATCAAATATAAAAAATTTTGATTTTAATTTCTTCACTAAAGCCCTCAGATCTTATACAATAGATATCCAAAAAGAAGAAAAATTCAAAGCGTGATCAGACATATAAAAACTTAATTGGGTCCTTACACTTGCAAAAGTGAGATAAATAAAAGAATTTCTGTCTCACACTTTTACCGAAGAAATGGGATAGAGACGGTTTCCTTGTCTGGAGTGAACGAGTTGATTTTGTATGTTGGCATAGCATCAGAGAATTTGGATGGTTACTGAACAAGAGAAGAAAGCCAAAAGATACGACTTTCTGCTGCCTAAACAGCCTCCGCCATTAACTTTAAGTGAGAATTAGATGGATAGGTGAAAAGAAAGAATATTCTCAAGTTGTTGAAACTTGGGAAAATAAGAACCATAAAATCGGTCTTGCTACGTGTCCATTGTTTTTCCCGTCGATGAATATAGTTGTAGTTCCAAGTTGGGTCGGTAGCAGGTAGATTTTAATTTGAAGCCCACCGCTCCATTTTTCTTGTTAGGTGTATTTATGTATTGATGACCGATTATGACTTGATTTGATGTGAAGGTTTATTTTTTATTTTTATGTTTCAAACAGTTAGGTGCCACCCATATATTTAGGTGAGTTAATTATAATTTAATTTTTATAGTCGGTCAAAACTAATTTATTAATTCATGTTGTACTAAACATAGTTTTTTTTTAATGCCTTATATATTTTTTTCTCAATTTTCCTTCTTGCCTGTTTCTTCTTTTTCTATTTTTTTTTTTAAAGAAAATGTTAAAATAAATCGGAAGAAAGCATGGATTGAAGAAAAAAACTAAATTATAAGGATGAATTATATATTTTTTGAAACTACAAGGACTAATTAATTAAATTTATTTGACTATAGAAATTAAATTATAATTAACTCTTATTTACATACATGGTGAGGGTGAGCAAATATTTTGATTTGATTGGATTTGGGTTTCGGTTTATTTTGTTTGCGGTTTTTAAAACTAAATTGAATCAACCTTTGGAAAAACGAATTACGTAAATAGAATATTTTAGGTCTTTTTTTTTTTTTCAATTTTTCTAAGTTAAAATTCTCCAATCCAAAAATCGTCATTTTTAATTGTTTTTTCGTTTAGTTCTGTTTTAAAAAAGAATTGCTAACGAAATGAATAAAACAAACCTATAAAAAAAAACTGAAAATATTTTCTTTTTGATAAATTTTAAAATACACAAAGAGTAATTATTATATATTTATAATAATAAATTTATTTTTAAAGAGAAAGTGATAGATTAAAAAAAATTACATCCAACTCATTAAAACTAATAAAATATTTTCATTTCAGTTAGATTTTTTTTCTTATTTATCTCTAATTTTTATATTTATCTTCTTTTTATGGAGTAATTATCAATAATTACTCCATGAATAATATAAAAATTGTCTGTTGCTTCCATTTGGTTTTTCCATTTAAATCAAATATTTTTACAATCACAGTGTAATTGGCTATTTATTTATAAGATCTAGTTATGATCCAATGTCACTTTCCGTTGGTATCCCAACTTCCAATTAAGCTATCATTGGGAAAAGGAAAGGAGGCTGTGTTTGGTAGGCAAGGTGGAAAGTGCCTTACGTACATAGCAATGTCTCGAGCATAGTTGTTTATGTATTGTACATTTTTTGTCTCTTGCATTACTGCCAAAGCAAATTGATTTCACAGTACAGCTAAGCACGCAGTTGTTTTTTTTTTTTTTTTTTTGGTGTGTTTTGGTGCAGTTGGTTTACTTTGGTTGCTCTTTCTTGGTGCCGTTATTGACCGCCACGACTCATCCTGGAATATTTTGCGAAATATTATACGAAGGCATCTCTATCCGTCGGAGTCTTTATTTGCTTAATATTGTTTTAGTCTTTTCAATTTCGTGTTGGAATTACTGTGTTCTAGATTGAATTTCCTTTTTCTTTTAACTGGTTAACGGACGTGAAGTTTCACTTGGGTAAATCGACGAACAAAACGTGGGCTTTGTTTTAGTCAACTTTTCTTTTTTTCTTTTTGGATTGAGAATGGTTTGTTGTTGTTCTTCTTCTTCTTCTTCTTTGCTTGATTTTGATTCCATTTCAATTGGGTATTCTTTTTTGTACTAGTTGATCAATGGGTTCTTGTTTGACTCTTGTGTTACATTTCCATTCCTAAGATTTTGGATTTAGTTCTCTCTCTTGTCTCTACTGTATCAGTTTCTACTTGCTGTATTCTTGGATTTGGATTCAGTTGTTGCATCTTTGAAAATTTTTGTTTTTGGGTTTCGGGAATCCATCATTGTAGACTCTTTGTTGGTTGAGTTAAGATTGAAGAAATGAAAGGGAAAACTGGGGTAGTAGGGAGTCACTTTGTGTTGAACACAGGAGCCAAAATCCCTGCCATAGGACTTGGAACATGGCAGAGTGGTGGTGACCTCTGCGTTGAAGCTGTGAAAACTGCCTTGTCCGTTGGTTACCGTCATATAGACTGTGCACATCTCTATGGGAATGAGATTGAAGTTGGGGAAGCACTGGGCGAAGCATTGAATGCTTCCATGAAGAGGGAAGATGTTTTCTTGACTTCTAAGCTCTACTGTACTATGAATTCCCTAAATAAGATTGAGAATTATGTGAGGGTTTCGCTGAAGAATCTTGGAGTCTCGTATTTGGATCTTTATTTGATGCATTGGCCTGATAGCTCGGCTTTTGGTGATGCAACCGATCCCCCTTCGAAGTCGGGGAGTGAGTATAGGCAGTTTTTGAATCGATTGAAGCAAGCATGGAAAGCCATGGAAGGTCTTGTTGACCTGGGCCTTGTGAGAGCTATAGGTGTCAGCAATTTCAGTGTCCAGCAGATCAAAGAGTTGCTGAAATTTGCAAAAGTTGTGCCTGCTGTCAATCAGGTTCGCTCATCAATATTTTAAATTTCTGTTATCCATTTTGAACAGATTTACATCACAGATTGTTCCTTTATTGACTTAGATAAAAGTTTGCTTTAAATTAAATTTTACAAGGGGTAAGGCCAACAACTATCTTCAAATATTAGATCCATGTTCTACTCCTTCCACCACAGAGAATCATTTTCTCGGATCTAATGATGGCCTGAAATGAGACTTCCCAAAACCACCACCATCATCTAATGCCTCTTTCTTTTGAGGCTGGCCTTACACTTTAAGTCCAAACTTGAAACGGTTCGTTTCCTCTTCCGAACTTCTTTGAACCATCAATATAATATAGCATTCAGTGTCTTCAGGCACTAAATTTGTTTTAAGCAAGTAGAAGAAAGCAGAAACTAGCTGAAGATGCATGAATAAGAAATTCTATTCATCTAGTTCTGTGGCTGCTGGCAAGTATGTACCTTTTCATGGCGTTTCTGTGACCAAACGTTGGTAATCAAAACCAAGAAAACGAAGTCATTTAATGTGTTTGCTTTTTCCTATGACAGTTTGTGCAGGATGTAATTGGTAGATCTCAGTTGCACACCTAATTTCATATCTGCCACCCCTTCGATATGCGATGGTCTTTTATTGAAGATTTTTAGTATATGCACTGCTTTTGAATTGTTGTATGTATGCTATTTCTTCAAATGTGTGAATCTAAGAGTAATTATTTAGATCCAGTGCATCTTCTGCTTGTAGGTGAAACACTTTTAAGTGGAACATTAATTAATGGGAAGTTAGAAGAGGCAATGTTGCATAAACATAAATATTTGAGGATATAGAAAGAGTTGAGGAAGGAGGATTCATCAAGGGAGCTGATGCAGGACAGCATAGGGGCTGCTCTGGATCTGATCTTTGGAGGCTGTTTAGGGGTGTTTACAGTTGAATTGAAGTCAGTTTCTGCTAGAATGTGAGGAAATGCGTGGGGGTAGGTTTCTAGGAGTCACACCTAAGCGAGGATTGAGTCACACAATCAACAGCAGCTTGCTGGAATTTTATTCATAAACTGTCATTCATAATTTGAAAGACTACACTCTGTATTTATAGAGTTGTAGAAGTCCAAATCCTACTAGGACAAAAGATTCCTAAAAAACTAACATAACTATTCCTATTTAGAATAGGAAAATCTATAACTATTCCTATTTTAGAATAGGAAAACCTAATAACTTTAGGACTAAGAAAATAAAATACTAAACAGAAGAATAGACCTAGACAATTTCCAGATTTTCCAGCAAACCTGAAAATTACTAAGTACCCTTGTATTCTAAAATGTAAATAAAACACATAAATCTTAGTCATTTGTCATCTGCATCAGGAGCTCAAACTTAATAACAAATGAGGATGGCAGCTAGTGTATGATGAGTATGGAAAATTCTTTAGTGATTGAACTGGGCAGAATAATAATAAATTTAGGATGTATGGTTTAGTTGTTGATGTATCAATTACTTTGCATTCACTATAGGAGTAAGATAATTTAGATGGAGAATCTAATTGTATAGAATGATCCTTTGTCTGATTGAAAATGCGGGATTCATGATGCAATGGTGATAGAAAGCTTTAAGGTTGGCCTATAATATTGTGCGAAGTAGCACTGGTTTAGAGAGGAATAAAAGAGTGACATATTTCAAGCATGACACACGGTTGAGATTTCAACATTCCTAAGGTTAAGAAGAGTTGGATTCAAGCCTGCCATGCTGATTTTCTCCAAGACATCCCATTCTCATAGACTGAGAACGCATTTGAGTATCTTGCTGCAGATCCCCCATTGACTCTCTTTGTTGCATGTTTTAAGATGACCGCTGTGAATATTTACAGTAAAACAATGTTTTCACGTATTTTTTCTTCTTCTTTTTTCTTATTACTATTTCATTCTTCACTCTCTTAAAAAAAATTCTATGAATGCGAGTTTTCTCAATTGATTTATTAATTTTATTAGGTTGAGTTGCATCCTTTTTGGAGGCAAGAAGAACTGGTAAAGTTCTGTCAATCAAAGGGTATTCATGTATCTGCTCACACACCTTTAGGGGTTCCCGCATGGAGCCCTGGACCATCTGATAGTGGATCAGGGGAAGATGAACCTGGCACTCCTCGCATATCATTTAGGAGGTCAAGATCAGTACATGGGCCCATGCTGAAATTGTGTATTGTCTCAGAGATAGCAGAAAGACACAAAAAGACACCTGAACAGGTAATGTTTTACTCTGTTTTCCACTGCCTTTCTTAAATCTATCATGACTTCCTTTAATCCTACATGTTATGTTTACTGTTTTTGTTGATATTATGCTTGCCTCAAATAGCTGTAGTGACTTGTATGCACTTTTTTCTTTCCCCAAAATCTGAGAATATGAAGATTTTTTCAGAAATGAAGGGAAGGTATTGTAGATCAGACGAAACCAACTTTAAATTGATTTAATTAACCTTTGTGTTTTCCTCATAACTTCCACTGGCACTTCCATGAGTCTGTCTAAAATGTTGCAATTTTCTTGTTTCTGGATATCAGTGCTATCTGTGGTGCTAATATTTTTGTTAGTGATATAGCACCTGGATATACTGACTAAGAATATGTACGTGCTTATCCGAATGTTGATGTTAAGGACATAGATTTGAAAACCAGGGGGAAGTTTTTTACTTGAATTTGTTCCTGGAAGCTGGAGGAAAAAATGCTGACAGAAATTTGACCTAGTCGCATAGTTGTGAGGAGTTCATTTGTTTCCTCAGATTGTTAAGAGGATACACTTGGTGGTTCGAGGCCTATTTAGTTGAGCATGAATTGCATGGATCTTAAAGTGAGTATACCGTCACTTGCTCACAAAATAAGTCCTGGAGAATAATTTGTGCACCACACAGTATGGCAAAATCATTGACAAAAGGATCAATACATCAGGCTAACTAATAAACCACCACACAGTTAACAATGGTGCTTGCTTTCATGTTGATGTGTAATGTATAGTCTTGTCCATGCTACAGTACCAGCTAGACAAGCTTCAAGCGTCAGTGGGTATTGTCCTTGTGCATGCAATTGCATTCTATGCTATTTAGATGCTTCTAAAACCTCCCAGACCGTCCATTTTCAATGAAAAAAATTAAAGCTGTGCAGTCTTTTTCCACATCCTCCATTGCGATTGTATGAAATGGGAAATGCATCACACATGGCCATTTGAAGGTCACATCTTGTAGTTTCTAATAGGAGTTGCCTGAACTTGAACGGATCAAAACAACCCAAGTACGAAGCATTATTCATAGGTAGAGTGCATGGCTATTTCCAACATAGGACTGAGTGCCAAACTAGTCTGAACTGATATTGACAAATAAAAGGTGGATTCTGAAATATTAATTCTCTTGCAAGTAGTGAAAATTAATATTCTGCAGATCCCCCGTAGAGTGATAACCTTCACTTGGTTCATATCTGTTCATATGAGTGTGGACTTATTATCCTCATCCTGCAATATATGGATCAGAGTTCAAGAAAATTAAAAATCAAAAATTGACCAAAAGCTATCTATATATTGTTTTGTTAGTTGCTGTAGCATCACTATGGGTCAAAGTATGGTTTCAGATGTTGTAGCAGGTTCAAGAAAATTTCATGATCATTTGAATCATTTCCTGAATTTCTATCTCTGCAAACTGTTTGATGGTTCCTGTAAATTATGTTTATCAATATAGAAAACATGAAGAGAAAATGGGAGAAGAAAGAACAGAAGAGAATCAAGGGAGCATAGAACACGAATCCAATTCTAAGTTTTATTTCATTAAAATAGATCGCCTCTTTTTCATCCTTAATATGAGCTTTTATATTATGATCTCCTCTCCATGAATGCGCCATTTGATCCCTGTGCTAATTGTGAAAGCCACACCTTAAAAATGGGTCAGATTATGATTTTCAAAATTGGTAAAAAGTAAGTTCATTGAAGAAAAAACAGTTTCTGCCATATTGTTGAAAAAAATAAAGCTAAACAGAGGTCTTTCCAGATTTTAAGTAGTTTGCTTCAATCCTTTCAAGTTGGATGAGCACCACTACTTTGCCATTAATCCAAGGAACACATGTTCATCCAACAAGATGAAAGAAACATGAAGGCCCCTATATAGTTCTTTGTTTTGGTTTGACATGGTTATTATTAGGGACCAGTTTGCAATATTAAGTCACTTTATTTTTGTCTTTCTCAACTACCATGAATTAAGTCAAGGGTGGTTTAAAGTGATTATCATGTGATTCTCGGAGCTCAAAAGTGCAATTTGAGCACCTGCAGATGATCTCAGATATTGTCTTTCTCAACTACCATGAATTAAGTCAAGGGTGGTTTAAAGTGATTATCATGTGATTCTCGGAGCTCAAAAGTGCAATTTGAGCACCTGCAGATGATCTCAGATATTCATTTCGGTTTTATTTTCTGTGTCATTTCAAATCAGCATCTGTTTCATGTTGGAATAGTGGAGTGACTGCAAGTTGTTATAAATCTCATTAGTGACCATCTAAACTAGCTGAAGTTCATTTTTGAAAGTTAATATAAGCATTCAGTGCTTTTTGGTTGGCAGTATATTGCAACTTCAAAGCCTTTGATAAAATGGTCTCCCTGGAGAAGGCCGTTGAATAAAAAATTGAAAGTTACTTGCCGCTGATGAGCAAACTACTGAAAGATTCTTCCTTTTTAATACATAGCTTGAGGTTTTTTACTGTTATAATTGGAACAACTTTCTTTCAGTAATCAACTTGTGCATGCATTAGGCTTTTGCTTTATTGTGTGGTGGCTATTTTAAGATATCATTGATATGTTGATATTTCTTCCTTTTTTTCATAAACAATTAAAATATTATGTTCCTTGCACGACCTTGCGTGGTAGTGTTTTTCCCCCGATAATGACTCATATTGTGGCTTCTTTACTCAGCTTTTTTCTGTGATTGTCATCCTATTTGTTTTGTTTACTCTCTTCTACTTTGCATTTGCAGACTGTTTGTTTTTTTCAATTTCTTCTCCGGTTCAGAAAGAGGAATTTGTTACAAATCCAACTCCCTTGACAGATCTACTCCATAAGCAATTGTAGAATTTTTAAATTGATGTTTTTTTTTCCCTCACTTTGATTTCCAACTATAGGCAAAGTATCTGTACACAAAAACACACTAATGCCCTTGGTGACTTTTGGATTTTGGAATCTGACCCGGTTGCAAATGCAAAACTCCTTCCAGATTTTAGCTACAACAAGAAAAGGTGCCTGTCTGATGAGAAAGACAGTGAACCTAAAGCCCAAATAATATTAACATGCTTATTTAAACTTGTAAACAGTGATTTTATGTTTCATCAAAGAGTTAAAAGGAAAATATTGTATTACTACTTGTAGCTTGACAGGTTGAGTTTCTATCTGTTGTAGGTTATTTTACGGTGGGGAATGCAGAGAGGTACCAGTGTTCTACCCTGTAGCCTTAAGCCGGATCGCATAATGAAAAACATAGACATCTTTAGTTGGTCTCTGTCTGATGATGAGTGGAACCTCTTGAATAAGATTGAGCCACAGGTATGTTTATTTGGAAATGGTCCTCTAAATAATCTCTCAGACAGTGGCTATATGTTTGGTAGTGGCCCCCTTCAAGCTGTGCGTGAGATAGAAGATGACGTGGAGTCCAATGCCTGATATTTATTATTAATTTTCTCGAAATAGTGTGCCATTTATGTTAAAAGATGCCATCATGTTATGAGTGTCCATTGGTTGTAAGATTTTGATTTCGTGGATGCTGAATAGGAAATCAAAAGTGCCATTGTTGTTGATTGAAATCAAATTCTTTTCCTCTGTAAATATATAGTTGTTTTCATGTCTGTACCCAAGGTTTTATGTTTGAATGCTGTTTGAATGCAATCATCAATAGGTGTAAACTATGAACGAACCTTCAGGACAAAACATTCTTCTAAGGTTCTAATTGAAACTGCATAGTAAACGAGTAAATGTTGACGGTTACAAAAATATATATGTGTGTGTTGACTGTTACATAGTAGGGTGATATATAGAGAATCAACCAAATTTGTTCTCCTCCACCTGTTGTTTTATTTTTTATTTTTTTATTATTATTTTTTATCTCCTTTTTGAGAGAGCTCCCAGAAAGAATTGTTAAACATGTTGAAGATTTCTCATACAATTTCTAGCAGATGGTGCAGTAATATTCAATGGCCCAAGTGACCTTTGAAATTCTGACAAGAGTTGGAACCAGTTATTTCTGTTTGTAATCTACTATTAAGTCTTGTATCACAGAACGTATATTCTAGACTTCAACTATGCTTTCTTGACTTCATGAAGTTCTTCTCAAGTCCTCTTAGACCGTAGTCAGTGCTACGACTGTCCAATTCTTACGAGGTTTCTCATCAATTTCAGCAATGGTTTTATTTTCTTACTCGTTGAAATTTTCGCCCGTGAATATTACAGATCCCTAACATCACATTTTCACACATGCATCTGCAAGCATGATCCTGAGGTTGTTGCATTTACTTTTAATGAATTGGATGGAATTGGAAACTCCGGGTTTTTTTTTTATTTTTACTGGATTAATAGAATTGGATACATTATATCAAGGATTATAAGTTCAATGGCTTTAATGTTGCTGATCCAATTTTACATTGAACCCTTAATGTTTGTGCTTTGTCATTACAATTGGAAGAGCATCAGAAGATGAAATGACCAACGTTTTGTCAGAGAGGGGAGGAGGTGAAAATTTTCGAGTCTCTTATGATGACATTGAGTGTTGACTGCAAATCCCAAGCTCTCACAGTATAAACTGATCAGATCAGGTTGCCAACAAAGTCCGACTAGTCACTGTATTGTAGCTTATGTAAAATCAGTGACTTCTGTCATAACCAAAATTTCAAAATTTTTTATTTTAATTGGCTATTTGTTTTCTTTTATTTCATTTGTTTTTATTATCTTGATTTGTGTTATTAGTTTTCTTTATTCCATTTCACTTAATAATTTACAATATATATATATATATATATACACACACACAAAAATACAAAAAAAAATATGAATTTAATATTTAGGGATGCAATTGTATTAAATTCAAAATAATTATAGTAATTGAGGACACAATTGAATCATTCGTAGTTCAAGGACTAGATTATATTGTACGGGGACTAAGTTGACCTAGTAATAATTTTCAAGGACCAAAATTATAAAATTACAAACAATCAAAAAAATGAAAGAAAAAATTGTAAACTTGCACAGGAGTGGATAACCGGTCCCACTCCCGCCTGTAACTAGTTTCGGGATCTTGTCCTTCCGCTTCATGGAACCAGCTTTGGTTTCAATTGCGAGAATCGGCTTGGTTCCCAATTACCGTTCCAAATTCCAGCGAAGCAATTCCCTCCATATGCGACAATCAATGCCCTCAACTTGCACTGCCATTTCCCCCTCCATGGTCAACAATTTCAGCACCTCCCTCTACCCGCTCGCCGGCCACCCTACCGCCGCAAATCCCAGCAGCCTCCATCGTCACCCAACTCCCCGCTCGCCACCTCGCACAGACCTAGAATTTCCTCCCTCACTGTGTCAATCCCCGAGCAGCTTCACCACCGCACAGCCCCACAACCACAATCCCATCAACCCCACTCCATATCCTCGCAAAAAAATCTCACACCATCATGGTGGAGAACCAAGCTACATTCACACACACACACACACACACACACACATATATATACGGACAACGACAGATAAAAAGGGAGGAGGGGGAAGAAAAATTCAGTCCAAAAATCAAAAGAGGGCGTAAGTAAAACAATTAAGAGCCTTAAATTAAAAAAAAAAGAGGAAATCAGTAGCCAAAAAAAAATCCGAGAAGAGGGAAAGAGATTACCCCAATCAAGCCGCAATTCATACCCGTTTTCATCAACCCTTCCAGGTAATACCATTTAATTTCTTATTGATTTCGGTTTTGACGAAGTTAGGTTTGTGTTTTGAAATTTGAGGATTTTTGAATTTGGTTACGAATTGAGTTCAGGAATGACAAATTAAACCTAATCGAAGGCAATTGCAGTTTCAATTTGGGGTTTAAACCCCAAATTGAAGCCGAATTGATGTCAATTTAAATCTAGGGTTCTTGATAAAATTTTGAACAAATTGATTTGGGGGTTTTCAAAATTTCGAGTCCTAAAGGGTTTGAATTGACTTGATTTCACTTGAAATCAAGTCAATTAGGTCTAATTGAAAGAAAATTTGGAAGAAAAATCAAAACTCGAGTTCGACCAATTGGGGATTTTTTTTTTAAAAAAAATTTGATTTGGGGCTTTTTGATCTAGAGAGGAATTAAGACGTTTAGGAAGGAAGAAAGGAAGGAAAAAAGAAAAGGGAAAGAATTAGGTTGCCATGGACGAACCCGTTCGGTTCGTCCATAGCAGCTTCGACAGGAGAGAGAAAGAAGAAGAAGAAAAAGGGAAAAGGAAAGAGAGGAGAAGGAGGAGGGAAGGAAGAAGAAAGGAGGGAAATGGAATGGAATGGACGAACCAAGACCGGTTCGTCCATGGAGATAACGAGCTTCGGGAGGAAGAAGAAGAAGAAAAGAAAGAGGGAGAGACGGGATGAGAGAGTTTTTTTTCTTTGATCCGAAATTCAGGAATGGAAAAAGGAAGGGGTTGTTTGTGGGTTGTTTTTTTTTCGGTTTAGATTGGGCTTAGCCCATCCCATTTTCACTGGTCGGATCGAATCGACCTAATCGAATTTTTTTTTCTTTCCTTTGGGCTAGATTGATTCCGACTCAACTCGAATCATTTTTTTGGTCGAATCGATTCCAAATTTCGAAAACAAAACATTTAAAAAATAAAAAAACAAAAAAACAAAAAAATATGTGTAATAAATTTTACATTTTAATTTTATGCATGTTATTTTAATTTTTTAAAAATGTTAAATGGTCTTTATTTATTTTTATTGTAAATTTAATGTTATGTGTATTTATGCATGTTAGTTAGGATTTGTCATTTTAATATTTTGTAATTGTTTGAGTTTACCCTTGAATTTATTTTATGCACACTTATTATTAATTTAAATTTCGGTATTTGATTTTTTATTCGTGTAGCTTTAATTTATTTGTTTAGAATTAGGCTCGGTAAGTAATAAGTAGAAGATCGTCAAGTCTCCTAAATTTTTAGGGACCGATGACAATCTTTCATTAAAAAAAATAAAAAAATAAAATATTTAAAAAAAATTAAAAAATAGTACTTATGCAAAAATAAAAAATAAAAAAATAACAAAAAAAAATCATCGTAAAACTTTTAACAAAGTCTCCTATCCGATAGGGACTCGTTGTTAGCCAAAAATTCATTTTAATAAACAAGTGACTCCGACACACCGGTTGTGTCGAGACAAAAAAATGAATCCGATGTTTGAACCGACGTGTCTCCCGACGGAAGGGGTCCGACGATCGTTTCAATACGATGCCACGCTCAAAAATAAAAAGACTTAATTTGACTTGAAAAATTGGAGTCTCAAAAATTGAAAAATAATTTGGCAAAAATAAAATATTTTTGGAGATAATTTAGGACTAAGCTAGAGGTGGTACCTTTCTTAGTAAATGGCACTTTTGGGTGATTAATTATCTTCCCATAAGCGTAACCAACTCCTTATCATAGTAATCTCCGAACCAGTGCCAATTTTAGGTTCCTAGTTCCTTCAATACTAGGTGGCGACTCCAAACTCCGAAAATAGTTTCGTAAATAAAATAAAGATCCGAAACTAGTGATACCATGAGATATATATATATATATATATATATTTTTAGGAGTCCCGTCCGACGCTCGGCAAGCGACAGAATGGCGACTCCACCGGGGAGATATGTCGTGCCATAAGTTTAGTCCTTGCAAATTTATTTTCTTTATTTTCTTTTTCCATTTAATTTTTTTATGTCTCCTTTATTTTTCAAGTCATTTATTTTCTTGTATTATTTTATTGTCTTTAAATTTTTGCAATTTATTTCTTTTTAATTTTGTACATACTTAATGCATTTTGAACTCGGGTTATATGCTTTTTTCGAACCGTTGCACACACACCACGAATGAAACCTACAAAAGCTCCGGACCCGAGCCGGACCTCGTTATGATTTAGATAGAGAGATTTGGGGGCAAGTATGAAGAAAGTCTACCGATGCTCTTCCGGACTTTTGTTTGGACCGGAACTCGCCCTATGCATAGAAAATAGTGGAATAACCTTCCCTACCTCCTAACACATAAGGTCGAGGCCGGATTACCCCACCGGTAATTTAGACAATTCGGGAGCTTGAAAAGATTTAGGATTAAACCGAACTTTGCCAAACCGTATACGAGCTAGATCCTATCCACTAGTGGTCGACTTCGATTAAGACACGAATTATTTTCAAATGATATAAATACTAACCCTCGGTTCTTGCAGTGGTCCTTCACATTAAATCATGACAGAAAAAATCGAAATGACATTGAGGATTTTAGGGTCGATCGTAGCGGGCCCAAATTGATGAGGGAGATTGTCCGCCCCCGAGCTTTGTGTCGAAACCGCCCGAGAAAGAAAAACTCACCGACAAGCTACCCAATATGGGACCACTACTTAGTTGTTGGGAAATGCTTACTTCTACCGATAGGTTTGACTTCCAAAAGATGTATGGTGATATAGCTCACTCGCTTAAG